TCACGAATAGAATTTCATTATATTCAAGAATCTGATCAAATTTTGATTGTTTTTTTTTCATTCTTTCATTCATTTTTGTTGTTGTCGTTGTCGGTCTAGGATTCTGTTTGATCAAAAAAGCCAAAAGAAAAGCTTTTTCTTTATATTCAATCAAAGTATGTGATTTTTTTAGACTCGACCAAATTATACAGAACGCAAAAAACCATCATCATCATCATCACAGAATTGATCCACCACAGTTCAGAGTAATATTAATTAATGTAATGACAATGACAACGACAACTGAAAAAAATTTTCATTCACATTTGTTTTATCATACGATATATCAAACATACACACACGCAATATCCACACACACACACACACACACACACCTGATCTATTACCTTTTATTCGTTCCATTATATGAATTTTACTTTTTTTATATATGAAAACCACCCAAATGAATGAATTAAGTGGTGGTGGTCAATATACCATTTTATATTATTATTATTGTCACATGGAAGGTGGTACCAAAACGTAACCAGAATAGAAAATTGTTGTTTCTAGTTGATTGATTTCAGATCAATCTGGTGATAAAAATCATTGATAGGTGAAGAACCTTGTAAATGATTTCATGTCATTTGCCCATCATCCAAGTTGTTTTTTTGTTCACATTTTTTCATTTGATTCAAAAAAAAAAAGAATAAGAAAAATCTAGATAATCTTGATTATTCCAAATACAAGTGTGTGTGTGTGTCAGAGAGTATCCATTCGTACAAATTGATTAAATTAATGATGATCATGATGATCAAGATCATGTTAGATTGATGCATGTAAAGAATCATTCCACCATTAGAAAAAGGGATTAACACCGGGATTTCGTTGCAATAAGCAAATAACAAGAACAAAACAAATAATGAAAAAAATTCTGTTCTGAATGTGAAAGTTATAAATGATCAGAAAACTTTTTTCTTGTTGTTGTTGTCCAACTAAACTCAACTGAAATAATGAAACGAAACAAAAATGAACTTCAAATGAATTAAGTGTGTGTGTGTGTGTATGTGTGTGTAATATCAATAACCCGAAGATGAATAACAAACTACAAGTGAAAAGATTCGTAACTTTTTTTTTGTTTTTTCCCATTTTGAATCCTATTAACTAGAAATCATTTGATATTCATCATTCTCTTTGTGTATATGTGTGGGTGGTTTGTAAGCAAAAAAAAAAAAAAAACACTCATCATTCTCTTCTTTTTTTGATAATCTCTTCACACACAAACACACAGACACACGGATAACCGATAATGATGATGACAGTGATGGGAGAGATTGTTGTTGTTGTCATGATAGTTTTCGATAAACGAGAGAGAATATTCAAGTTTCACATTGAAAATGAATAGAAAAAAATAACATTCAATATCTATGTGGCTATCTATTATCATCATCATCGTCGAAATGAAAATCACCCTGCAAACAAACAATGATGGAAAACAAAAACAAAAATTTCCACCCACGCACAATAAACGATATATTGTTATATTACGCCGGTCATACACAATAATCATGATGATGATGATGGTGAGGTCATCACCATCATCAGAAATGGAGAAAAAAAGGGAATGAAATAAACGACATTATGGTCAGACCTAAAACCCCCACCCCAAGCAGAAAAAAAATCGAAAAGAATCAAGAATAAATATTGCTCGAAAAGAAAAAAAACAACAGCATCTGCTTTGCATTTTTCATGTGTCATCCAAGCGAATGGATCAACACAACAAAATAAAGTTTTTTTTCGCTCTTTCTCTCTGTTTGTCCACGATCTCAAATGACCAATTATTTTATTTTTTTCTGTTCTGGTTTGTCCATTGTCACTACTACTATTCATTTATTTCATTATATGCATCTTTTTTCGTTCTGACAATATGATGACCAGAAAATGCGAACTGTCTAATGGTCAGTTTCGACAACAACAACAACAACTATTAAAACAATAAATTTACGAGCGTATTTTTTCTCGATTGTCATTTTTACGAAACGATAACGATAATATACGATCTATTTTTACGTAAATGTAATAATAGCCAAAACCTTTACTCCTTTCATTTTTTTTGCCGAGAAGAGGGTAGTGTTGCTGAAAAATTCTGTCTATTTATTTGTTGTTTGCTACCAGCTATATTCGATCATCATAAAAAACCCAAAGACATCATTGTGAATTATAGATTCAAATAAATAAGTTGGATTTTTGTTTGTTTCGATGAATTGGAATCAATTAAATTTTTTCCTTTCATCATCATCATCATGTAATCATCATCATCGCCTTTGAAAAATACACCGACCGACCCACCGACCAATCAAATCTGAATATAAACTAAAACGAATTTGAAAAATACGAAAAACCAAAAAAGCAAAGCGAACCTAAAATAAAAATTGGACGATCCGATTTTTTTTTCGTGTCTGTGTATGTTTCATTGCCAGAATAGATAGATAGAATAGCCATAGGATTCTTTTTTAGACTTATTCATCATTCAGAATGGCGACATATACAAATACACAAAGACAAACGCAGGATACACAGTAGCTTGATATGTGAAAATAGAAAAAAAATCCCTATACCTCACTAGAGGGGGACTGATATATATTTGAAAAACAAAAATAACCTCTGACCGTAGGGGTCGAAAGGCCATATATACACACACATATATGTCCACCACCCAATCGTTCAATGGATGATGATGATGATGATTGTTTTTTTCAGATGGATCTTTTGCGTGCACGTGCACAAGATGATATTGTCGATTTATACAATAACAACAATATCAAGGCCACCACCACTAGTGATGTGTGTGTTTTTTGCATGTTCCACCCACAGCATACATCACTAGACATCCAGAAAATAACAATAACAGCAATAGAAAAAAGAAAATGGATCAAACTTAAACCCAAACCAAAAAAAACGTCGAGAGTGCGGTTGAAGGTTTCAAAAAAAAAAAAAAAAAAATTTCAGCCAGCCAGTCAGTCAACCAATCATTCCTTAGTGGAACAGTCCGAACATTCAGAAAAAATGGAACAAGCCGGGTATCGTGTGCAAGCATTGTTGTAACTAACAATCGGATCGCTAGAAAAAAAAGGAATATCTTTTATTCACTGACCGTAGATTTTTTTTCTTCTTTGGCTCAATTGAATTTGAATTGAATTGATCGATTTTCTATATTCTATTCGGCAAACGAAAAAAAAAACTTTTCATTTTATTTCAAATTACGTTTGCTAGCTGTCATTGGTTGTCTTCAGTTTGGTTTTTTCTGTATTGTCACATCATGTCAATGATGAGAAATTCATTCAATGCTGTTGTCGTCGGTATTGTTTTTTTTTGTTTTGGTCAAATGAATTGAAACAATTTTGAAGATGATTTTTTTTTTCTTCCAGTGAGTTTATTTGAAACAAAAAAAAAATTAATTAATTGTCAATCAAACGAGAATTTAGCTAGAAAATTAAGTTTTTTTTGTGTGATTCAATTTCTAGGTTTTTTTTTATTTTTCTGGTTTCTGGTTTAAAGATTGAATCAATCTTTCAATCGATCAATCACATTTGTTGGTCTTGTGTCATCACCATGTACTAATGGGATGACCAAAATTGTTTTTTTCTCTTCTGCTTCTTCTTTATTCGTCTACATTATGGCGCCAAACAAAATTGCATTCTGGTTTTGTGTTTAGTGAATTCAAATTTTCAATCATTAGATAAAACTGCTACACTTGTTCTAATACACACACACACACATGTTTTCTTCTTGCTACTACAACTAATGCTTCCATTTTTTTATTTGCTACTAGCTAAATTCAACTTTTGTTTATCGTCTGTCCTGTGTGTGTGTGTGTGGTAGTAGTTTTGAATAATGAAAAATTTAGAGAAAATTGTGAATTCAAACAATTTTTTTAACAAATTTTATTGCTACTACCGTGTGTGAATTAGGTAGCAGCAATTTTATTTTATCTAACAGATGAAACAGTGTGTTTGTGTATGATGAATGAACACCACAGTGTCATAGCAGCCATTGACAGACAAAGACTGAAAAAAATACCAATGTTGTTGTTGATTCCATGTACATGCCCAACAACAACAACAACAACAACAACAATAGACAGGCTCAAATCACACATCTCATATCATCTCATATAAATGAAAACTGAAAAAAGTGTCTGAAGTGTCAAATTGAAATATTTTTAAAAATGTGTGCTTATTTCGTTTTATTTTCCACTTGATCACAAATTCCAAATTGATTCTAATTCTTTCAAACCATTCGTTGATGGTTTTTTTTGTTGTTTAGAATCGACCCATTTATTAAAGTTTGTGTGTGTTCATGAAACAGGTGGTTGTTTCCAATTTAATTTTTTTTGTCACCATTTAATCAATTGTTTGTTTTAACATTGATGTTCAATCAACAGAATCATCATCAATGAATTGATAATCAGATTTTTTTTTCGTTCAAAATCAATGATCAGGTGTGTGTGTAGTGTAAATCGATTGTCATTGATTTTTTTTGTTTGTTTCCTGTGTGTGTGTGTGTTGTATTTTTTCATCTGGTTCAATTTTCAATTTTATCCTTTTTTTGGTGTGTATGTGTGTGTATTGTATTACATCATCATATTTACACGACTGGAATAACATCAGACTAAATGTGATTGTCATATAATGATCTCTCTCAATTTCTCGGTCTAGATCGATCGATGGATTGATTGATTGATTGATTTTGGTGATAAAATCGATCTGGATTGTTAAATGGTACCACAACCACCGTTTTTTCTTAATAATGATCATCAACATATTACTAAGTGGCATTTATTAGTAAATTCAATCAATCAATTCAAAAATTAATTGATCAAAATTGGTTACGATATGAGTGTGTTTTATTTATGAAAAAAAATCAATATTTTTTGTTGATAATTTTGTTGTTTTTAAAAAAAAATTATTGATTTAATTGACAATTTATTGTGTTTGTGTCTGTGTCTATGTGTGTGTTTATGTTTGTGAAATTCTTTTTGGTTGTCATCATAATTTTAACCCATTCTAATCGATAAAAACAAACGTTGTTTGGGTCGTCTACATAAAAACAGGTCAGTATTCTTTGAATATTTTTTTTCTGTTTTTTTTTTGTTTGTTTGATCAAAGTTATGTCGTTGTTTGTCTTGTTCTTATTAATGCGTTCATATTTCAGGAACAATCCACTTTTCTCAAAATGTTTTCGGTATTTTTCTTCTGGTGGTCAATCTGTCCACATTTTTTTTTCTCACCGTTGTTGTTGTTGTTGTCGTCGTCGTTCGATTATTAATATTATAATAGTACCTTAAGCTTTCATAGGTCAAATAATAATGGACATGTTCAAAATGTAAAGAAAATTATTCCATTCAAAATGCTTCACGATTTTCAATTTTATTATTAGACTAATGTTGTCTACTACTCTTGGGTCCTTTGGGCTATTAAAAGTAGTTAGTCGTCCCCAGAAGTCCTATGAACTGGACCTGGTTTTGTGAGTGTGTGAATCTATTGAATATATTTGTGCACGAATGGCAGCTGGCATTTTTTTTTCTTCTTTCGTTCTTTTCCTTTCTTTTTTTTTTTTAATATTGGTCAGATCTATGAAAATGAAAATTACAAATGACACCCCTCCTCATAGACACACACACACACACACAAAATCACTCCCCCTTTTACAAAATAAAAGAATAGCCTTGCAAGCTGACTACGCTAGCTTTTGTGAGAATAGTCAGCAAACAGCAAGCTGTGATTCATACTGAAAAATAAATGATCATTTTTTTTCGCAGTCTAGTCGATTGCATTTGATGGTGGTTGAACGATTGATTGGTTGATTTTTTGGTTTTGTCATCAAGAGAGAGAGAGAGAGAGAGAGAGAGAGAGAGAAACTACCCACCAAACTAAACTATAAAATCCTGGAAAATAAAAGAGCTGCTCACCAGCCATCCATCCATCCATTTATCTAACCGACGACCAGAAAAAAAATGAGAACTTGATGTTTGTGTGTGTGTTTTGGTAGCAATCCATTCTATTGCACTTGCAATTGGAAACTCCGTGTGTGTGTGTGTTGTATATGTGTTTGTGTGAGAAACCAGAAGTACAAAAAAAATAACGAAAATGAAACGAAGACAACGTACCACAACAAATCTGCATTGTCGTTGTTGTCATCGTCTTCATCGTTATCGTGGTCATTTGTTGATGTCTATGTCCACACACAACAACCACCACTGCCATGACCGACAACAACAATTTAGTAGTAGAGGTCATAATGATGATCATCATCAATTGTCGATCAACCAAGGTTCTATTTGAATTTTTTTTCTGATGAAAAACGTTAAAAATATGCTTTTTTAAAAAAAGCAGAAAAGAAAAATCAAGCATTCACACTAGCATTTTATGTTGTTTTTTTTAGTATCTGTGTATCACTGAAAATTCCTAGCCCACTCATTTTCATTTTTCTATTTTTTTGTGGTGACCTCAGGTCATTATTATCATCATCATCATTATGATGAATATAAGGATACTGATATGGCTGATAACAATGTAATGGTGGTGTTGGTGGTGGTGAAAATTCGATTGATGAACAATAAAAAATGAAAAAACAATTGATCGATTTGCTTGTGTGTGTGTTAATTTTAGAAGAAGTTTATTTGAAAAAAAAATTTTTCAAATAAAAAAACGAAAAGTTGCTTTTTTTATCGCTTCAGGAGTTTGTGAATTTTTCTTGTTTTTTTATTCGATTGTTTTATCAATTTTTTTCACGGTTCTTCTCGGTTGATTTGAGCCATTTTTTCATTATTAGGTCACAATTCCACATTCTAAATGTTCTGTTCATTAAAGTTTTTTTTAATGATTTTTTTTTCTGAAATAAAATTACATTCATCAATGAGAAAGCGAAAAAGAGAGAGAGAGAAATGATTAAGGAGGTTAAAACACAAGCCAACCTAACACCTTCCAGTCTGATATATAGTCGTATTTTTCATTCGTTTTTTTTCAATGATTAGAAAAAATATGAATGTCACGAACAAGTTGAACGAGATGAAAAAGACACAGACATCCACAGATATTTTAGCAGTATGTGCCACACAAAAACAGGCTTATTTGGTTGTGAAAGAGTGAAAATTCACATTTTTTTCTTCTTTCTTGTCAAATTGTCACCCAAAATGATGTTGTTGTTGTTGTTGATCAACGACATTTATCATCTCACACACACACACACTAACTAACCCAGTCAGTAGGTGGTGGTTTTGAATGTTTTCCCAGCCCAACAAAAAGGCGATTAAATTGATTAATAATAATCATGCGCTGTTGAATTCCTATATGACAATTCATTAATTAAAGAAAATTTTTTTTTCAAATTCAACTCAATTGTCCATCATTTGCTCGTTTTTGAAGAGTTTTATCAAATTATCGAAACACGTGTTTGAATACTGAATTTTCCTTTGAAACACGCGTTTAATAAATGACACACATTCATTCATCATATTTGAATAGACACTAAACCAATTTATTAATGTTTGCGTGTGGTTTTCATTACTTTTGTTTGTAATTAAAACTAATTTATATCAATCCATGATTTTTCACCAAGTTTATTTACACACAACACCCTTTCGTGAAAAAAAAACTTGATTCAAATTCAGTAATCGTTTATTTTGACGATAATGATCCCGGATATTGATGTTTAATCATTATGGATTCATTTGTTTTCAGACACATTGAACTTATCGGGTATTTTGGTGATAATCAATTTGCCTATGTTTATAAATGATCGTTTGATAAAATCAAACTAGGACATGATAATTGCCTATATAATGGTGTTATGGTGTTGGAAATAGATTTTGAATTTTTCCTTTTTTTTCGCTCTTCGGTATACAATATTTGAGCTCAGTTAATTAAGGCGAAAATGATGATGCTAAAACTATGGCTATTTTAATCACACGATTCAAATGATTATGAATTGAGAATTAAAATTAGAACATCACCTGTTGACAATTTTTTTTTTATTTTCGTTTTTCGATGGATTTTTAATTGAATTTTCTTTTCTATTTTTTCTTTTCATTAAAATTTTGGGTTAGCAAAAACCACACACACAGACACATCAATCATTACTATGGCCATTTTGGCGGTTTTTTTTTTTTGCTAGATTCAATGGAATTTGTTTTTTAGGTAAAACGAAATGTTGTTGGTCAACTCTATAAAAAAAACTTGAAACAACAACAAAAATGTATTTTTTTCTAGGTCAATTGATTGTTCGATTTCTTCACTGTTTGGATTTTTCATTTCCTTTTTTTTTGGTTCGTTTGTGTGTGTGTGTGTGTGTACCATTTTTTTCTGCTAAATTTCATTCATAACAACCAACAAGATACAAAAAAAAAGAAAATCAAGTGTGAAATCAACAACAACATCACCTTTTTATCCGCAAACTATATATTTATATATACTGTTCGTATTGATTGTTATTGTTGTTGTTTATTTATTCAAAATTTGTGTTAAGCACTTGTGATGACGATATAATAAGCTTTGTCCATATTTTTGTTTTGATCATTTATAAGCTTTGATCGGATTTTGTTTTTCGCGTTTGTTTTATTCATCAATCTTATCATTAACATCTATCTTTGACATTGATAGCACATCCGAATCACATTGTCAGTGTGTTTGTGTGTGTGTGTGTGGCTTCTGGGCATCATTGAAAATTGATTTTTCTTTTGCTTTTTTTCTATGTTTGTTTGCTTGACAATCTAGATTTATTATTAGTACCGCGTGAATGAAAAAAACGAAAATTGTTGTTGTTGTTGTTGTTGCTCTTTAGCCGAAAATAGAGCATAAAATACGAAAAATAAAATCTAATCTGTGATCGATTGCCTTCGTTATTTATCCACCGCCATCGTCGTCGTCGTCGTTGATGCTGATACTTTATTCCAAAAAAAAAAAAAATTTTTTTTTGTTCCAAACATCAAACTCTAACTATAATGATCCTGACACTTTTATGTGTTTTTCTTTGTTTTTTCGTCTTTCAAACATGGCTTAACACTTTTTTATTTTGGCTAAGAGAGAGAGAGAGAGAGAGAGAGAAAAAAATGGTTAAGTTTGGAATTTCATCAGTGTTTATATGGCGCCAAAATGTTGATGATGTTAATCCGGATCATTTTTTTTTCTTTTCTTTCGTTTGATTTTGCCATCAAAGATGTTGTTGAGTTTTTTTTTCTTTATTTTTATTTTTGTTTGATGAAAAAAATTGACGTAATAAATGATTTTTATTATTCCATATTTCATTCAATTGATTGAATCATAATTATACATGAAAAATTTCCCATTTCCAGTGATTATTTTTTTTTTCTTGCAACTGAATTCTGAATTCATTGTTGTTTGTTCATCATCATCATGAATGTTTGATATTGTTTTTTGTAGTTGTATCAGTGATTTGTCAAATAAATGTCGAATGTGATATCAAGAATAATCAGAATTTATGATAGTCAAGTAAAAAAAAATCAGATCATTAATTTTGACCATTTTTTTCTGCCGATACTTGAATTCAATTCCAATAATGTATCGAATCAATTTTTCTTCTGTTTTTCCGGTTTTTATTTCATTTCGAATTCTTGAAAGATTTTTTTGTTTTGTTTTGTTTTCGCCTTTTTGAATTATCGAGTACCATTGATTGATTTAGTACTTGGTGTACAGATGATTATTATGGATTTTGAATGCAATTTAATGAGTCTCTCAATCGTCGCTCACTTTATTATAACTACTAAATGGATTCCATCATTTTCTATTCATTTCAATGTTTTTTCTTTTCGAATTTCTTGTTGAATGATGATTACTTTAATCTGGTTGATGTATGATCTATTTTTAGAGATACAAAACGACATACAAAAAAAATGATTGGAAATTATATTGATGGAATTTCTTTCTTTTTTTCTTTTTGTTTGCTGAAAAATAAATTTACAGAATTTCAGTTCAATTTTTCAATGACTAATTTTATAAATTGCTTTAATTTTTTTTTTTTTGCTTTTTGCTTCTTGATATCAAGAAAAACTTGAAAAAAAGATAAATTTTAATCCTCAAAGCTAGTGTTTGTTTG